GAAAATACTTGACGGTCGACCAAAAAAATTCGCAGTCGACCACGATCCAGATCCCAGACTGAGAATCGAGCAGAGACTTCTTCGGTCGACCGGTGCGGTCAACCGTGGGAAGTCTCGAGCTTTCGGTCGATAACGGCGGTCGACCGACAAACTCTCTGCTGCCCACTGACGAATGAACACAGGTGCGGTCGACCGGTGTGGTCGATTGCATACTGATACATTCTAAAAAATAATTTTGACTTAGTTTAAAATATTTGTAAAATATTTATTTGACCTCTGAAAATTACGAAACTTTGTAAAATATTTTTAATACTAAAAACAAACTGTTTGGAAGAAAAATTTTGCAGAAGATCCTCATACTTGTGAAAAATAGTATTTTATGAAAAACGCTTAAAAACATAAGTATGAAAATGTGTGTGTGATATCCCAATAGCTTCAAGTGAAATCAGTAACTCTTTGCCTACATTCTAGCACTAGAGAGAAAAATAAAAGCTAGCTAATATAGAATGCAATTCTTGAGTCTTGATATAGCTTGAGTTGGATGAAGCTTCTATTTGAATTTGTTGTTCTTGAAATAACGTTGCTTCATCACTATGCCTCCTCCTCCTTTGGATATTATCGTTGTAGCCCATATTCCATCCAATCCTCTATTTGTGGCACTAACAAGCTTGATATATGATTTCACTACATTTATACTCAATAAGCCATTAGTACCGATAATGATGGTTGTAAAACATCATCAAAACATAAGGTCTAACAATCTCCCCCTTTTTGATGATGACAACCAACAATTATATAATAGCAAAAAAAATAAAATAAAGATAGCTTATAGATAGGTGCTCCCCCTATCTATGAGCTCCTCCTAAGTATATGCAACAAATGAGGAGATTTCTCTCCCCCTTTGTCACCATAAAAAATGGGGTAAAGAGAAATGCAAAATGCAACTAAACAAGTAAGCAATTTAGAACTTTCACATAGTGCATAAGCCCAAGCCATTTCTTATGCGAAAAAAATCATCCTCTTCAAGAGTACTAGGGATACATCTTGTCTCTCTACATGATCGCGTAAGAAATGATGGCGTACGTCAATATGCTTGGTTCTAGAATGCAAAACCGAATTTTTGGAAATATTTATAGCACTAGTGTTATCACAAAAGAATTTTATATTTTGAAAATTCAAATCATAGTCAACTAAGCTTTGTTTCATCCATAAAACTTGATCACAACATAAGCCAGTGGCAATGTATTCCGCTTCCGTAGTGGACAATGCAACACAATTTTGTTTCTTGGAAGCCAAAAAACAAGTGAATTTCCTAAAAATTGGCATGTTCCACTCGTACTCTTGCGATCTACCTTACATCCGGCAAAGTCGGCATCACAAAAACCATATAAATCAAAAGAGGTGCTTTTTGGATAAAATAAACCAAGAATATGAGAGAGATCTTTATAATGTGGTTGGAAACAAGCTCCTATGAGCTTGGTATGTCTCGCCTCTCTATTTTCTTGTTTGATGAAGTTGCGTTTTTCAAGAATTATTGATAACACGTCTTTTTTGTGAGAAAATAGGAAGAAAATATTTCATTTTAGTTCAAATAGTATTGTTGATGATATCATTTTCGGTGCTTACTAAAGTGAATGTTCTGTTGCATAGAATGTTTCTAAGGTTTTTATTGCATGATCATTTTGAGATGAGTATGATGGGTAGTAATACATTCTTTCTCGGGCTTTCAGTCAAGCAAACAAAGGAGTTGGATATTTATTTCTCAATAGCAGATGTTATTGCTAATGATTATTGGTGAGAGATAATGTCAATTTGGATGTAACTCTTATAGCCATGCGCCTTACTCCCATTGTGAGTACAAGTGTTATAGCTTGAATGCAGATGAAATAGTGGGAGACATGGACAGAAAAATTTATACCATGTATGATCAGGTATTCCTTTTTTTATCTTCACCTCTAGTAGTACCCGAATTATCATGTTTTAGTGTGTGTGCATTGGGTGCACGATTTTCTAAGCATTCTCCTACTAATCATCATCTATTTATTGCGGTTAAAGGATCATTAAGTATGGTTAATGGGAAACTTTTAATCTTGGTTTATTTTTATCCAAGAAAGCACCTCTTTTGATTTATATGGTTTTTTGTGATGCTGACTTTGCCCTCAAGATAGTAGAAATGGTGTAAGACTCTCTCTTTACAACGTCCCTATGGTAAAGAGAAAGAGCACACCGAAGCTGGGAAGTGAAACACAGAGAAACTCAGAAAGAACAGGTTTGAAAATTTTGCTCGGTAAAAAACAACGTCTCTGGTTTTTGCAAAAGCTAGGACACTGAGGAAGAAGAATAGGTTGAGTTTAAATAGAAGAAACCAGTTGTTTAAACTCATACCCTTAATCCCCCAAAATCTGGAAACAATCGTTGCTGAAATCTGTACTGACCGGCGCTGAAAAGTACTGTTTATTACCATTTGAAAATACTTGGCGGTCGATCAAAAAAATTCACG